TCACCTATTTAGCCACTCCTTCAAAATACTCCTTTAAGACATTTTTTAAAACACATGTGGGTGCTTCCGTGTTTGGTCCCAGGCCCTCTTCTCTTCTCATTTTATACTGGCAGTTCTCAACTAATTCATTTTTTTTTTTTAATCTGAGCAAAGCAACACATTCACTCTTCAGAATGATCAACACAGAAACATACAAAAAATCTGGTGCATTATTTTAGCCAGTTCGCAAGATAAGACATCCTCCCCTGCTCCATGCAATTTAATAATGTAATCTTCTCCACTTACCATCAATATGCTAATTCCCAAATTTATATTCTCACTCAAGATCTGTTTGTCTTATATGACAGACTCATATATCAATGGCTTACTAGACTCCGCTCATGTGTCCCTCAGACATCTCAAACCCAATATGTCCAAAATGTAACTTCTTCTCTTCTTTTCCTCTCCTCGGTAACTCTTCCTCTGTTCTTAGGACGTAGTGCCACCATTAATGCAATTATGTTCAGAAAGCTCTCCTTTTATCCCCTCACCCTATCTATCACAAGAACTGTGAATTCTATTGTCAATATATGTTTTCAATACCTCCGTTTCTCTGCATCCCAATATCTATCCATTTCATCAGGCCCACCATTTTCTCCCTCTTTTTTTTTTTTCCACATCTTTATTGTTGGATGTAAAATGTATTACAGATGTTCCACATTTTTCCCCCATTGACCCCCTCCTCCCCACGCCTGCCCCCCTCCCACCTTTTCCCAAACTATTGTCCGTGTCCATTGGTTATGCATATAAGTTCTTTGGTTTATCTCTTCCCACCCCCCCAACCCCTTTCCCTTTGAGGTTTGTCAGTCTAGCAATGAATTTGTGCTTCTTAATCCCTTCACCTTTTTCACCCATTCCCCCAACCCCCTTCCCAACTGGCAACAAACAAAATGTTCTCTGTATCTATGAGAATGTTCCTGTTCTTCCTGTTCATTTTGTTTGTAGATTCCATTGTTGATAGATATGTATTCATTGCCATTTTGTTTGTTCATACATTTTATCTTTTTCTTTAAAAAGACCCTTCATCATTTCATATAATAACGGTTTGGTAGTGATGAACTCCTTTAACTTTTTCTTGTCTGGAAAAGTTTTTATATGTCCATCGATTCTAAATGACAGCTTTGCAGGATAGAGTAATTCTGGTTGTAGGTTCTTGGTTTTCATCACTCTGAATATTTCTTGCCACTCCCCTCTGGCCTGCAAAGTTTCTTTTGAGAAATCAGCTGACAGCCTAATGGGAACTCCCTTGTAGGTAACTAGCTGCCTTCCTCTTGCTGCTTTTAAGATTCTCTCTTTGTCTTGAACCTTTTGCATTTTGATGATGATGTGTCTTGGTGTGGGCCTCTTGGGGTTCATCTTGTTTGGGACTCTCTATACTTCCTGAACTTGTATGTCTGTTTCCTTCACCAAGTTAGGAAAGTTTTCTGCCATTATTGTTTCAAACAGGTTTTCGATTTCTTGTTCTCTCTCTTCTCCTTCTGGCACCCCCGAGATGCGAATGTTGGCACGCTTGAAGTTGTCCCAGAGGCTCCTTACACTATCCTCATTTTTTTGGATTCTTTTTTCTTTTTGCTGTTCTGATTGGGCGTTTTTTGCTTCCTTATATTCCAAATCGATGGTTTGCTCCTTGGATTTACGTACTCTATTATTGAAGCTATGTAAATTATTCTTTATTTCAGTTAAAGCCTCCTTCGTTTCTAACTGTGCAGTGATTATTTCTGACTGGTCCTTTTTTATGCTCTTGAGGCCCCCACTGAGTTCATTGAGCATCCTTATAAGCAGTATTTTGAACTCAGCATCTGTTAGGTTGCTTATCTCCATTTCGCTTAGTTCTTTTCTTGGGGTTTTGTTCTGTTCTTTCATTAGGGACCTGTTTCTTTGTCTCCTCATTTTGGCTGCCTCCCTGTGTTTGTTTCTGTGTATTACTTAATGAGAGGTATAGGGCTCGCTGAGACCCGATGCTGCTCGTTTGAAAGAATTTAGGAAAAACCTGAAGCAGGATCCAAGACAGGCCAATCCTGTGGTTAAGCAACTGGCAACAGCTTGGGTGGGCCTGAAAGTTGGGTGGGGTGGGGTGGGGCCTCAGGGAGTCAGCAGGGCGGGGCTACCAGTGTGAGCCAGGTTGCTGGAGTCCCAGATATGGAGACTGTCTGCCGCCCCAGAGAAGGGCTCACCAAAGGAACAAAGGCCTCTGACAGCAGGTTTGTCCCCGAGGAAGCCCCCTCTCCAGCCCTCGCTCCAGTGCCAAACAGCTCAGTTCTTCCCTGTATTTCTCTGGTGCCCCTTGAGCTGCCTTCCCTCCAAGCTTAGAGGGAGAGAGTCCGATAAGTTCGTGCGCTGGCCCTTTAGGGAGCTGCCTGTGGCTCCAGCCAGGTCAGCTTCCCTGAGCCTCAGTTTCCGCTGGTTTTTCCAGCCAGAAGTTATGGGGACTTCTCTTCCTGGCACTGGAAACCTGAGCGGGGCACCTGGTGTGGGACGGGGACCCCTCAGTCCTCAGGAAGGACCTTCCCAGCCGCGGGAGCCTCCTGATTTTTATCCGCCACACTTGGATGTGGGACCAGCCCATCACGCGGGTGCCGCTGCCGCCGCCCCTCCTACCGGTCTGGATGTAGCTGCTTTTTTTTTTTTTAATTCCGTAGTTGTAGGACTTCCATTCAGCTTGATTTCAGGCGGTTTTGGATGATGGTTGTTCTGTAGTTTTGTTGTAACTTGGATGTGGTTGTGGGAGAACGCGATACTGCGTTTCCCTACGCCGCCATCTTGACCGGAAGTTCATTTTCTCCCTCTTGACCTACTGCAACTACTTACTAACTGGTTCTCCTACCTCCAGTTTTTGGGGGGTTTTTTTGTTTTATTTTTTCTTCTTCTATGATGTATTCTCTGTGCCCATGCAAATGCAAATTGGATTATGTCGCTTCCCAGCATTCTTCTTCTATTCACAAATAGATCTATCAACAAAACTGTTGTGTAGTTATGAGAGAGTTGGTACAAAGAATGTTTAACTGGCTCTCATAATCCCTAAATCATTCACTGAAAGGACATAGAGCTAACAGCTGATCGTGTCCTGATTTTTTCTTTATGTGATGAGGTTTGCATTAACAATTGTCTTTGCTAAGATTTCACAGGAAAAAAATGAGGCAGTAATAATCTTAACAACATCCTTTTGCATAGCACGCTACAATTCACAAGATGCTTTTATATATGTTCAGTTGCAGTAAATGTGAGATTACTTTGAAACACTAAAACTAGGAGATTAAAGAGAACATTTTTTTTTTCACAACATATTTTATATATGAAAGTCACTGAGAATCAAAGTAATAGGACAGGAAAGAAAACTAATGTTTCTGAAGTTTGACCCCAGTAAGCTCTTTCCAACTATCAGCAGACCACCCTATGCATGGTTCAAGTCTTCCTGGAGAGCTGTGGCCCCTCCCATCCGTTGATGGGCTAGGTAATTTTAGTGTCTAGACTGCTGACACTGGCCCTTGAAAAGTCACATTTGCTAGAATCTCTAAAAAGCATCCTCTTTGTTCAGAAACTATTCAATCTGAAATATGATCTCTCTGTGACTTTGAACTACTTGTAGCAGTAATTTTATCTTTTAGTGGAAAGCCTGCAATAATATTATGTCCTTGGAGGAAAGTGGGAAGGGAAAAAAAGTCACATCACAGTGAGTGATTCAAAAAATACAAAAAATTAATATAACAAAATCTTTAGGAAAGGCATAGAAATGTATGTACAAAACTGCTCTCCCCTCCCCGTTTTGTTTTGTTTTGTTTTGGGTTTTTTTGTACCAGTTTGCTTGTCTTTCATGAGAGTTTGAAAAAACTGAGGGAAATGTCTTTCTGCTTCTAGCTACTACAAGTGTCTGTTTGGATAAGACTGACTTTGGAGAGGAAAGTATGGGCCAGGAGTAGCTTACTCCTCCCCTTCCTTCACAAAATATGACTTTGGCTTCCTCCTTGGCCAGAACCATGGGCAGAGGAAGAAGCTATAGGGCAGGAGAACATGTAACTGTGACTAAATGAAAAGAGATTTATGTCACCACCAAGAAAGAGCCACAGGGCCTTTGCACTGGAAACAGCAGTACTTCAAGGAGGTTCACTGAGTGTTTTAAAGCAGCGAGTCCAGGTTCCACTGACGTCAACAAAACTGTCATGGCACATGGATTGAGATACTACTGCTTCCAAGCTAAAATAGCCAGTTTCAGGATCTACAGGGGGATAAGTGGGAAAATACTTTGACCCTGGACTCACAGTCACAAAGATCTCAAATGTAGACTTTTGACATTATTTCCAAATGAGGTCACACATGCAGCTGTCGAGCTATACCGACCGGACTGAAAGAAGTTCATTGTGTCACTTTAAACTCATGCATTGCCATGAAGACATCACTGTTGACAGCCTAGATCAAATTCCCTGCATTTGCCACCTGAATTACTGCAGGAGCCACTGAAATTGTCTCCCTGCTTTCACTCTTGCACCCCTACCATCTATTCTCCAAAAAGAAGCCAGAGAGGTTTTTATTAAATGCAAATATCATAACCCTGATTGCAACCTTCCAGTGACTTCCCATCAAACCTAGAATAAATGCTAAGTCCTTAGTACAGCCTATACAATTCTATGTGACCTGAACTTTAGCTATTTCCCCTCCTTCATGCCAATCAACTTCACTGCACTCCAAGCAGACTGACCTCCTTGCTATTTCTGGAACATGGCAGAGATGTCCCCATCACAGGGCCGTTGCACTGGCTGTTTCTTGCTTGGAAAATTCTTTCTCCAGATATTTCATTGCTTCTCCCTTTCATCTAGATCTTTCTGCAAAAGTAATTTCTTCAGAAAGGTGTTCCCTGTACAAACTATTTTTTAAAAGCACCTCTATTGTTCTCTACCCTTTCAGGATGCTTTAATTTTCTTACACACACACATCTATTTTACTTATTTAATTTTTGTCTTTTTCAGAAGACTATTTATAAGCCCCGTGAAGGCCACGAATTTTGTTCACTGCTGCATCTCGTGCCTAGAACAGGAATGAGGAGAGCACTCTAGGTACTCAGTAAATATTTGGTGACTGAACGGGTGAACTGATGGTCAGTGGATGATATTGCCAATGATGTACTAAGAACTGTTTTATTTCTTGCTTATGTTTTGCAATGAAATCACTGAAATGCTAAAAGACCTGCGGGAGCTTGGCAGCCTTCCCTGTCCCACCCCCAGCTCCCTGGTCCATCCTCTGGCACAGGAAGGAGCCTCACGAAGACGTAAAGGACAGTCCAGGGGCAGTCCCTGGTCACACTGCCTCTACCAGCCACCTCTTGCAGCAAACTGCTACCCCTGAATACACTTTGATCCAGGGTGTGTACACCTACAGCAAGGTCTGCCCTGGGGGGGAGCACCCAGGAAGAAGGCCACACAGGCCTGGAAGTGAGCACAGGCAGTTCAGGAAGGGAATTCTGGAGTTCCCGGTGTCTGAAGCATGGTCTCGAAGGGCAGGTCATGGACTATAGTACACATGTCCTCTGACATGGAATGAGCATGGCTGAAGGACAGTAGAAGCGGGACCCTCTAAAGCTATGTAGCCAGCCATCAGTCACTTGTGGCTCTTTCAATTAAAACTTGATAATAAAAATGTAGTGAAATTAAAATTTTAATTCTTCAGTTGCACTACATTTCAAATGCTGAGTAGCAGGAGGGATCACAATACCTGTTATCTACAAAGCCATTGTAATCAAATGTTCAGTAGCCACATGTGGCCCGTGGTTACAATATTAGTCACTATGTGGCATAGAACCTTCCCATCCTCAAAGGATGTTCTGGTGGACAGCACCAACGCTGCTCTAAAGCATGGGACCTTGTCCCTTGTCCCTTTTCCCCAGGCTTAAGTGAATTACTCTATAAGCTTTGTTAAATGTATTTGATTTATTCAGAAAACATTTATTGAGCATCCACTATATTGTATGTGCCATAGGAGTTATTGGGAAAGCAGAAATAAACAAGGTACAATGTCCGCCTTCAAAGAGCCCACCACCTCGAGAAGTCCTGTGGCTAAGCCACTAAAGACTCGAAGTAAAGTGAGTATGACAGATCAAATGACAGAAGCCTGGCTATTGTTGTATTTAAGTAGCCTCAAGCAGTATATAAGTATTCTACTCAGTGAAATGAGATACAGAAAAAAAGTGGGGTAAAAAAGTACAAAAACCAATCCAGCAATATATAAATCAAAGGAACACTAGACCCAGAACTTCTTACGTAACAGAAACTTTTGCCTTCTAAAGTAGGCTCAGTGTCAGCTGGCAGGAATGACAGGAACTGGCCCATCTCACTTCATGAAGTTTGTTTTGTTTTGCTTTTTAGAATAATCTAAAGAGAGAAAACATATGGCTTTGTTAAAAAGCCACATCTTCAAAGTTGTATGTCTCTGTGGTTTAATGTTTTTCCAGAGAAAAATTACCTATTTATATTTGTAATCCAATATTTCCCCAAGTATATTTTTTTAAGGTTTCTTCCTTCAAATTTTCTCCTAGTAAAGAACACAAAAAATATTAGAATTCAATTAATCACTCATTTTTACACTCAAACTAAAGAAACCTGTTTCAAAACAAAAAATTACCTTTCAAAGTTATGCTTGGATTTATTTTTCTGAATTGGACCCATTTTATTCTGGCAATTTTGTTCCATTCTTACAAATATATTAGCCAGTCTTGCATAGATGGTGTGTGAGGATAAACATAGGTTGGTATAAAAATGCTTACCTGACCTCAAAAGTGGTTTCAAGTTTTCCTTCTTACTATTTCCTGGCCATCATATCTAAAATGTAAGAGGATCCTTTCAGAAGCTTTTGAGAAGCCGGAACTAAGGCAAGGATCAGCTCCTTAGCAGCTCTAAGACTTTGGGATTTGATTAAGTTTACTAGATTATTTGTTGTGTCTATCAGCCTAATTACTGTTAAATTGTTAACTTGGTTCTTCATTTCACAGAAACGCTTGATAACTGGCAGCTGTCAGTCATGTACATTTGAAATATGTTATTCTGAAAGTGTGAAGACGTGTTTAAATGCACGTTCTCCCTTGGGGATGAATTCCCAGGCCAACAGAACACCATGCCAATTGTTGGAAATTTCCCCTCATTATCATAAATGTGATATTTGATCCAAGGATATTGCCTAAATAAACTAAATTGCCATTTATAATCTGTTGGTGATTCCACGTGTCTAACCCAGAATGGGCTTTTGCCCTTCGTTGATCTAGAATTTTCACATGCTTTATAGAGGTGCATATTATTAATAGTAGTGATGTATATCCACACCACCTTACGGATTTGTATTGTCTGCATTCACATTTCTATTTTTTCAGGATATTTATTCAATTTCAAGTGTTTATTTTCATGTATTTTAAGCATATTTTATATGCATATGCAATTAAATCCTATAATAACTCTTAATGAACTAACTGTAATGAGTTTATTCTGCAAGAAAAACATGGAAACATTATAAACTAGTTTAATTCTACTTATATGTCCTGTAAGGAAGAAAAATTGAGATGAAGAAAAATTGCCTTTGGAGAATTGGTGAATGTCTCACTTTCAGTAGAATATTAGAAAGATAATAGTAATGGTTCTATGATGAGAATCCTTATTTTTTTATTTTTGGAGATTCATAAACTTCTCCAGTGGCTTTTTCTCTCTTCGTAAAATATGTAGATCTGTAGAATATTGTCATTACTGTCACATTCTATTAAACATATTTTAATTTATTTTTAGCATAGCATCATAAGTGAATTGACAGTCCGAACTATAACTTATACCGAAGCAACAATCTGTGTAATCCAGAAAAAAAGTAGCTAAATAGCTGTCTACAAAGAAGACATATTTCATTGCAACATTAACTCCTATAGAGTAAAAGCAATGCTTTCAAATTTAAAAATAAAAGATTGAGAATATGCTATTATCTAAGCCTGTATCTAGATATATTGGCTAGATCAGTCAGGAATATTTTATTTGTTGCCCAAACCTCAAATTCTAAAATTTAACACATTCCTGCATTAAAATTTTTGAATTTTATTTATTGATTTTAAAGAGAAAGGTGAAGAGAGAGAAAGAGATAGAGAAACATGGATTTGCTGTTCCACCATCCATGCATTCATTGGTTGATTCTTGTATGTGCCCTGACCAGGATCTGAACCTACACCTGGTGTATCGGAACGATGCTCTAACCAACTGAACTACCTGGTCAAAGCCACATTTCTGCATTTTAAAGAGGGGCTTAATATCTTATTTAAGGACTATGTCAGCAGAGAAACATCATAACAATTGTTCCAAGAAATATATTTCACCTTCGTCTACCTAGTAGAATCAGTTGCTTTTAATGTAAAAATTAGTCTAGTCACCTGCACTATTCTCTCTCTCAAAGTGCCCTGTAGTTCTAGGACTCTAGGCTTCTAAGTTGGGAAGCCAGATTTTGATTTTTTAAGGAATCCATGTTCAAGAATTATAAAGCAGTAACTTTCCTATGGGACAGAACTGAGAAACTTGTTATCCTGGTTAACAAGTCTACTAGAATTACCATTAGAAATGAATGCAACAAAAATAGTCCTACCTGCCACTCTTCTCCATATTACACTGATTATTGCCAATTTATCTTTCAGTTATCTAGGGTTCCATGTATTATGACTTTGTTTTGTTGTGTTTTGTTTTGCAAAGGGGGCTTGGGAGAAACAAAGGTTCTAATAATTATGGGAAAATATGAGTGAAATAAAAGATTTCTCAGATCTAATAGAACAGGCCTTCCTCGTACATGAAGATGCTCATTATACTCAGAGTGGGCAGTGTTTCCTAAACTTAATTTACAACAGAAGCCATCTTTTGAGATACTTCTAAAAATTAACATCTCTCAGAATCAGTGCTTAGCACACAACACATTCTCAAGAAATGTTTGGATGAATATATGAATGAATGAATAAATGAATGAATGAATGAATGAATGAATGAATGAACGAACGAACAAATTGAGTTTAAGTGTTAACAGACATATTATTTTCGGAAACTTCTCTGAGGTCAAAGAGCATTTATAATTTATATTTTTCAGGTGCATGAAGCATCCAGTAATTTCATGCAACCTATGAACACAAAGTAAATATTTGCTAATGTCATTGAAAACAGAAATGAAGATATTTGGCTTTTTAACAATAACTTTTTTATAGTTGTGTGGTGGTCTCCCACTAGTTGTAGTGGTAATACTTTATTTTTTTTAATTATCTTTATTGTTGAAAGTATCACAGATGTCCCTCTTTCCCCCTCCATTGAACAACAACATCTTTCAAATGGCATATGAGGAGAGTTCCATTGCCCTTTACACTCACAAACTAGTTTTCAAGAGACTATATAGGTACCATAGTTGAAAGTGAGTTGGGTTAATAACATAAAAATGATTTCACTTAGATAGTGCATTATCTGTCGCTAATATTTTAACTATCCAAAACATTAGAGTAATATATGACCAGAAATGGGCTGCAGGAAGGATATGACATTCTGAAACATTCTGGTTGATGCGCTTTTTGATGGGCGTAGAAACATCCTCCACTTCACGTTCACGTTCTCTCTTTGGTGGCAAACATGAGTGCCAGCTTCAACACCCCGTGCTGCTGCTCTGAGAAGACCACAGAATGGACCCAAGGGGGCATTGCCTGGCCACCTCTGTCTCTCCAGGGAAATGCCCCAGGGTGCACAGGGTTCGTTACGGCCTTGGCAAAGCACCAGCACACACCAGCTGCGCGTGGGACTGCTCAGCCTCCTGCTCGATGAAGAGGAATAGAAGTCGTCAGTCTTCCTCTGCAGGTTTTCATTAACTCTCTGCTAATCTGGAGCATTAATTCTTGGACTTCTGGGAAAACAGAGTTGTTTAATCCTAAAATCTTAAAGGCAAACATCTTTCTTTCAAATCTACTTCTGGAATTTGTGAGCTTTTGAAAGTAACATTCACAGAAGATTTGAAATATCCACTTTTTGTAAAGAACAAGTTAATGGTGTGAGTTCCCTGTATTACCTGATATCTGAATGTACCAAATTAGAAGGAAAAATAGGGGGACTAGCCTGGGGGGCAGGGTGGGAATCTTTTACTTCAGTTAGATTTACAGGGAGTCCTTGTAAACAGGGTGCTAAAAAGTGTGTTGGTTTTTTTTTAACCTTTTGTGACACACAACAGAGCTGTGAAATCAGTGAATTAAATAGTTCCAGTCCCCTGGGCACACATGAGCAATAGCATAAAAATGGACAGCACCCATTATAACATTACTGTTATGGAGCAGATGGACAGCTTCGGTTTCAGTCTTTTGTCCTTACTTCAGAATGGGGCAGAACTGGGAAACGACTGTAAATTTTCTCAAAAGAGATGAATAGGAAAGCTGTTAACTTTTTTCTTATTAAAAAAAGAACCTTGGAAAAATTCCAAATTACACATTTTGCAGCTCTTTGACTGCAATTCTTTAGCTTTTGCTGCAAAACATCTGTAGGTGGTTAAGCATTTCCCACCCTCATTCCCCAAAATGGAATATCTCATTCCTGGCAAGACATCCAATGCCTGCAAAGACATATGTTTACCAAACCAGTTCACTGCCATATGTGTGCCACAGTTTCTCTAGAGCATGATGCATGTGAGTTGATTGGCTTAAGAGCCTCAGAAAAGAGAAACAAGCAGAAACAGATTGAGAAGGAAGTAAAAAGATGGGGAAAGAGCGAGAGAAGGAAAAAAAGAGAAAGGGGAAGAGAAAGAGAATTATTTCTCATTGTCCTTTGAAAACTTAATTTTCTCCTTTTCTAGTGAATGTTGATTAGAAGTTTCCCAGTCATATTGCAGTAGTTTTTCTACTGCTAGGTAATTTCCAAAGATATTGAGTGTCAAAATAATTAGGGTACCAAGTAGGTGAGCCATAAGAAGAGATATTTTGCTATATAGTCATCTCCAAATTTATTTCTATGATGCATGATAAAATGATCAATGAAACAAATGTTAATAATCCCTTGAGTTTAAATTTTAATTTTTGACTTAGAAAAAACATATTTTGAAATATTTCTAGAACCTCAAATGCAATATATTCATACTAAGACCTAAAGAGTAATTCTAGCCATCAAAAGGGGAAAAATTGTTATTTCACTATTTCCCATAATACTTATACTCACTGAAATAGTTATTTCTTTTTAAATAATTCTGAAGACTTATAAAACATATCCTTTTAGCAAATAATCACATGGCTGAAACAGAAAATTTTGTGTTTTATTTTTCAAAATTTTGTTTTGCACATTAAAATATTATAATAATATATTAGTGGGGCAAACTGTTAGTAGTAAATAGCTTCTGATAAACAAATATGTTGCTAATCCCCTGGAGTATATAACACTTTTATCTGAAAGAATTTTTACACAAGAAAAGTAATTTGAAGTATTCAAAAGGAAAAAAGTCTAATAGGAGTATTGTGTATAAAACTGATATTGTTAATTGTTCAGTCTTGACACAGTCAAATCACATTACTTGA